TATGCATGCACCCGTGCGCGATATACTTTGATAAAAAAAAAAAAAGAAAGAAAAACAGCGCATAATATTGCCAGTGGAGCCTACGAATTGAAGATGTCAAAATCGAAGATCTAGAGACAATGGAAGCAAAAAGGTCATTTATACTTGATATCAAGAAGAGGCAGTTGAAATTTATAGAGCGCATATAATGAGGAAAGAGGGCTTAGAAAATCTGATACACACAGGACATATCGAAGGCAAGATGGATAGCGAAAAACAGTAAATAACAGGCATGTAAATGAATGGTGGAGCAGAGTTTGGGAGAGATAGCAAAATGACGAAATTTTTTTGCAAAAAATAGAGAATTATGGCGAGCCATGATCGCCAAAATCCTGAAAGGCCACGGCCCATAAAAAAAAGATGCTACGTAATATTAATGCTATGTTAATATCAATGTTCCTATATGGTGATTTTCTGAGCGTAGCTTAGATGTGGCACAAGGCCAAATATATGGCGCACCCAGTGAGGAGCTAGCGAGATAAGATTACTAATTATTACACCACGTCGAGGGGCTCTCAATATTCATATATGGTAGTGAATGCTAGGCAATGCTAGGAGATGAAGAAATTACTTTGGAAAACAGAAATATGGTTCTACAGAAGGATGATGGGAATACCACGGAAGAAGGAAGTCTTACGGAAAATGGAAACAAACAGGACACATGTATTGAGAATCAGAAAGAGATCCAATTTTGGAGTAATGTGTGTCGTACTAAGCTAAACTTAGTAAGTACCAACTGATCTTTCTTTTGTGCATAACAAAGTGGTAGGAGCGTTGGCCTTCCGAACACGAGATCCACATTTGATTCTCACTGCTGTCGAGTTCTCAAGGAGGTGGATTCTTGATAATATCGGCCTGGGAAGACGATCCCAGAGTGTGGTATCGCTGGGGAATAGCTGAAAAACACATCACGGTTTAAGTAAAATTTGGTAAAATAAAGCCATTTGGAAGCAGCCGTCAGTTATTCTAACACAGTTCAAAGTCATCAAGACCGGGGCTTAAATTATACTGATCTTTCTCAAGGTTTGAACACGCCAGTACAGTTGCAATATAATCTACAGGTTGGTTCAGAGGGTATTCAAGAAACTCATATGTGCCTGAGCAGATATTCGTAACAGGGATTATTGTTGTTTGTTTAACGGCGTATCAACTCCTTATGGGTCATTTAATGGCGAAAGTTAATTTTCTTGGGATCATTAATAATTTCTTTTAAAAAATTTATTGCTGGTAATGTTTTTGATGTCAAAAAACATTACCAGCCATACATTTTTTAAAAAAATATTACCAGCCATACAGTTTTTAAGAAAAAAGTAATATTAACAGCCATACATATATTACCAGCAAAGCATTTTTGGAAAAAAAAATATTACCAGCAATACATTTTTAAAAAAAAAATATTACCAGCAAAGCATTTTTGGAAAAAAAAATATTACCAGCAATACATTTTTGAAAAAAAAAATTACCAGTCATACAATTTTGAAGAAAAAATGAATATTACCAGCAAAGCATTTTTGAAAAAAATATTACCAGCCATACATTTTTGAAAAAAAATATTACCAGCAATACAATTGGTTCTCGACAAAAACCCTCTTTACGAAAATATGTCAATGAAACCTGATCTATAAACTGATTTTCTACAAAGAATACATATTCTATTCCTACCCTAAAAATCTTGTCGGCGTTAAAAAAAACCATGGAGGTGTTGATGTGCCATAATACAAAATAAACCAATAAACTAACTAATTAAGTTAAGAATAAAGTTGTAATGCCCCAACATTCCTTACCTTGTCACGGTAATGTAAGTGTACATAATGGATTAAATGAAAAATGTTCTTTTCCCCTCCGTGACAACTCAAGGCCGCATAGAGCAAAAAAAAACTGAGGAGAACATTTGGAACATATTTGGTCTCTTCTCGTCCAGCCGACATTTTCACCTGACCTTGCACTAAACAAATTTTGACCTATTTTCGAGCGCGGCAAAACGTTTTCGATTAGGAAATCTTCTAATTAAAACGAGTTTCTCTCAAAATGGATCGAAGAGCTGTCTGATGTATGACAACGAATCATCGCAGATAGATAGATAGATAGATAGATAGATAGATAGATAGATAGATGTGTATATATATATATATATATATATATATATATATATATATATATATATATAAGTATTGACGTGGATAAATCAAATAACTAGATATTAGCAACCGTATATACGTGCGTATATATATATATATATATATATATATATATATATATATATATATATATATATATATATTCGGCCTAAGAAAGGCAATAAAAGCCACTAAGACGCTGAGTGTGAGAAAAACGAAAGAAAATACTAAGGAGAGATAACAATAAAAGAACAGGAATTAAGAAAACAGGTAAACGATTGACGTTGCATTTAAATTTAGAAGATCGACTGGAAAGCAAGTGGCCGGAAGTCCCACAAACAAGAAGTGCGACAGATTAAACTGTTATCATATATATATATATATATATATATATATTAGAAAAATCCTCAAGCAGTTGATGCGAGGGTGCGGAAAACTAACTAACGGTTAATGTTAGTCGCCTGTGCAATAAGTAGTTATATACTACGTTTAACGTCGCCTGGTACACGGTTACAAGTATGGGGCGTCTAGTTAGAACTTACCTTACTGCTATAGTAAAGGGCAGCTTTAATATATGAGAGGCGTATTCTCCAAGTGCACACCCACCTCTCTTCTTGGTTACAGTTCGTGGCAAGCCAGTGTCGAGATATTTTTCTCAACATATACGGCAACAGAGAGAAGGCATGCCTTTCCCACGTCGTTTGCACAACAGGAATATAAGCAGATACATTTCGAATACGGTAGGCTCCGTTACCTCTCTCTCTCTCTCTCTCCATCTCTCACTCTCTCTCCCCATCTCTCTCTCTATATATATGTGTGTGTGTGCGCGCGCATGTGTGTGTGTGTCCAAGGGTAATCTGTCAGAATCCGAGGAAGGCAAACGTGTTGCGTAAGGAACATCTGTGTGCATATGACTTCCAACGTCGAAATTGGATGCGCAGATACGATTGCAAAGTATTGCAAAGGATACCGACAGGTGAGGCATGAGCGGACGCCTTTCTAGTCTCACCTTGAGGCACTACACGCACTAGTTAGCGTGAAAGTTGCATGTTCTCCAGGATCACTTATATATATATATATATATATATATATATATATATATATATATATATATATGGTGCGTTGTGTAAATTGTCGCCATTTTATATTTTTCATTCGCGCATGTGCGTTGTTTGTTTTGGAAATTTGGAAACGTGCTGGAAGCATTTCAGTGTTTGGGTGCTGAGGATTCGGAAAAGAACTCCCGAATTTTTTAGTGAGCGCCTCAGACTCAACATGGAGGCCCACATCAAGTGCCTTGTAGTGGTAGTTCTACCCTGGGTGAAGAGGTTGGTTGCTGGAAGACCTTATGTCTGGAAACAGGACTCTGCACGATGCCCCACAGGCAGGAGAACCCAGTTATGGCTGTCAGACAATTTCTGCGACCACATTATCTCTTATATCTGGCTACCTAACTCGCCAAACTGAAACCCCTTTGATTATTGTGTTGGGCGCAGTTGATCGAGAGATGTTTCCAAATTTCTGGCAGAATGAATTGTGTCATGGTGCTCTATTTCTCAAAAAAAAAAAACAATGCGCATGCACAAAATTAAAAAATATAAAATGGCGACAACTTACTATTTGCACCCTGTATATACGTAAAATATTATATTAAAAAGATATAACAATCTTACTAAGTCTATTAAATATTTTGAAGCTAATATTTATGAATATTGCCCAACGGATTAGGTATTGAACACTTTCTAAAATCTACTGAAATTGATTGATTTCGGTGTAGAGTTTATTCCACAATTGATTTATACAAGAGGAAATAATATATATATATATATATATATATATATATATATATATATATATATCTATATATATGTCTGCACACAAAAAACACACACACACATAAATATATATAAAAGTAATTTTGTATGAAAATTCGACGGAATGGTAAATTGTACAAGATATTTTTTTTAAATTTTATTTAGGCTTTTTTCTTCGATTAATTGGCGTCATCAAAGAAATGCAGTGCACACACATACAAATATATATATATATATATATATATATATATATATATATATATATATATATTATTATTATTATATGATTCCATTGTGACAGAAAATTTCATGTTTCAAAAATGAAAATAAATTTATAAATTTATAAATTTAATTTTAAAAATTAAACTGTTTCCGTTTTGAAACATGGACATTTTCTGTTTAGCGATGGAATCACATTTTAAAAAAAAAATAATTATAATATTTTGCTCGACTGTTTGTATCGAGCACTGTTTTTTTATAAAATTATAAATCTTACTGTTCTTATTATTCTAATATATATATATATATATATATATATATATATATATATATATATATATATATATATAAAAAAAGAACAGTAAGATATATAATCCGGTGTTCTTATAGATATTTTTATTTTTACAAAATAGTGTTCAATGTGTAGTGGAAAAAACATATTTTAAATCAATTAATTTATTATATATATATATATATTTATCAAAGAGAGTGAATACTATATGTAATTAATCAGTTCTTCAGTTTATGTTGCAATAAAAAATATGAAATGATTTAGAATATATAAATATGATACAAATATTAATGATCTGTTTTTATCGTTTCATAAAAAGGCATCAAGCGCAAATCGCCCTTCCTCCTTCTTATGTCCTTGTGATTCTTCTTCTTCTTCTTTCTTCTTCTCCTTCTCCTTCTTCTTCTTCTTCTTCTATGTGTCATGCTCTTTCAGGTTATTGGCAATGAAGGTTCTCCACAATTTCCTTTGCAGCGCTTAGTAAATTTTGTATTTCCGCTATCTCCTATAATCCCTGGCTTACGGTCATATCACGTTGAAATATTGGTTCCCGTACGATCACCGAAGTTAAGCAACATCTAACCTGGTCAGTACCTAGATGTGTAACCGATTGGGAATACAAGCTGCTGTAAGTTTGGATATGTGGGTGGTGTAATGGATAATGGCTCAGAATTGTTAAATTCCCCAAGCCCTCTTTCCTCATTATGTGCCGTAGAAATTTCGATTATCTCTTTCTGAAACTAAAACCTCGTTGTTGCTTACGTGCTTCGTCCATGATATTCTCGGCATCCTTTTGTAGAATCATATTGCTCTTGTTCTCTTCTTTATATGTGAAGAGATTGTCCAGCATTCACTGCCATATGGGAGGAGTCATATTATATTTGGCTTCGCCCCAGAAAGTTTGATAGTATAATATATTGAAAATATATGGCAATATATTAGCTCAAGCCCCTGGTAGGAGCAGCCCCGAGACATTGCCGGGTAATAACTCCAGCCCCACTCCAAGGGAGAAGGACTGGGGTTATTACCCGACATCTGATGCTTCTCTAAAGCGGGAAGTACAGAGGAGGCTTGAAAATTTCTCCACGTTATTGCCGTTAAACCCACTTTAAACTGACCTTGTGTCACATTCAGTGGCGCACTGAAAAATACAAATCGTTCAGTGATCCTTTCTTTGTTCCGAATGAAATTTTCCTGTATCTTAATACTTTGCTTAGCTTTACTGATTTTTAATGTTCATGCTTCGCTCAAAGTTTGAATCGCTTCCTATTATTAATGCTGAGATTTCTGAATAATATCTTAAAATCTATTGTAAAACAGTCTGAACTTAACAACTGCGGTTCTGTTAACCCCTTCAATGCGAAAGAGGCTCTTGTAGTCAGCATGTAATCAACTTAATACAGCTTTCTGTGCCAATTTTAAAAGGCTATTGTTGATTGAAAAGGTTTCACATAGCCTATGATCTTTGTTGATCACATTTGGATACAATTTTCCTGAACTCATTTAAACTTTGTTTGTACCTGCTTTTTTACTTTTATTTTTTATTTCGGCTGTTATGATGTTGTATTAAGCCCCAAAGAAAACCTATAAATAGTTATTATATATATATATATATATATATAGAGAGAGAGAGAGAGAGAGAGAAAGAGAGAGAGAAGAAGAAGAAGAAGTTGGAAATGCAACTGGAGTCTTTAAAAATAATTATTTAGAGTAACTTTACCGATTTTCAATGATGTTCAAAAGTTAAATTGAGTTGGATAGCCATGTGGCTATGCCATGATCTCTCGCATCTGAGTTAGTAAAAAAAGGGGCTCAGATTACTATCTGTTTAAAATGCAATCTGATTGGTTGTTTATGACCACGTGAATAGACATAGGAATTTTTGCGTAGACATCGATATTTTGAAAAATGTCGCATTTTAATAGAATGTTTGTCTATTCAATTTATTGATCATGTTCCTAATATACGAATAACTTTTCACAAATGTGTCCCTGTAATAAATAACAAAAAATTGTACAAGCTTGCAATTTACATATGTCATTGTTAGGGAAGTGAATAAATAAGAAGTAGCAAGAAAATCAAATGTATTTTATACAAATAAAATCGTTATATTTTTGCTTTAAACAAAATTATTTTTTCGATTTGTTTAAAAATATTTTAAAACAATGCGTTTTGATTATAAGAGCGGATTGCTGAAAATCTGATCCATCCGAAAAGAGTTTGACGTAGAATATTCAGACTATATAAATGATAGATATGGCATTACTGGCGATATTTGCCGTATGCTTGGTTGAGTAAAGCAGAAAAATGAAGTTATATGGCAAATCATCGTACCAGAGCACCAATTAACTAAAGAAAACATAGCATTAATTACTGGGAATTAATGACATTTACTGAAAAGTTTGCAAGTCAGCTGGTAGACCGAAAAGACATGGAAACAGTCACAAAAATAAACCTAATGACAACAAACACGTTTCTCATGTCTACCAACGTTGTTCCATAAGTTTTTTTCCAGTTTAAAGAGCTATATGCGTGTAAATCATAACTAACAATGATATCTTGTAATGGCAGACATCATGTAGGTTTGTTTTAATCAAATTTATCCCAATCAAGGCAGTAAAGCCATGAAGACACAAGGGGTCACTGGGTGTGAAATAATTAGAAAACAGAAACAATATTAAGGGGCGAGGACAGTAAAAGAGTGATCAAGAAGACATTGCATTTAAATTTTTGATGATCAAAATTTAGCTGGAAATCATGGAGCCGGTAGAGAGTTCCACAAGCGAGAAGTGCGAGAAAAGAAACTGTTAGCATGGAACTGGCGGTTACATTTAGCGGACTTAACTCTAAATTGATGAGACCCTCTTGCCAATCTAGAACTGTTCTTAAATCCATAAAGTCTACCATAGCGAAGATCACATCTGAGCAGTTACTATGTAAGTATTTACAGAAAAGACACAAGTTAGGCTAATTTAAAGGGGTGGGAAAGTGACTGAAGCCGAGACGCCAGGTTAGGACCAATAAAATTGATGATTTTTCTTTGAATTTTATCAAGTATCTTTAAATATATAGCAGGAGCAACGGACTATATGTAGCAGCAATATTCGAAGCCTGACCGAAAGGTAGACATAAATATGTAAGATAGATTCCAGAGAGAAAAAACTGTCTAACATGACACAGTGAACCAACTTTTTTACCAGCAGACCTAGCAATTGATTCAATAAAGTCTTTCCATTTCATGTCAGCCGAGAATGTTAGCCCGAGAGGGCGCGATGAATTACTCTCTTAGAGGTTAGCATTAGCCATGCTGATCGAAGGCAGAATGTGGTCTGTCAGATCATTAATAGAGAGCAGTTTCGTTTTGGAGGCGTCAAAATTAACATTGCCCCGGTTAATAACAAACTGTAGGTTAATTTTTTAGATCAGCCGCCAATTTGACTTTATTGAATTGATCAGATTTACTATCGAGACAGGAGTAAATAATTGTGTCATCAGCAAAGATATCAAGTTGAGAGCTGATGCCATCAGGAAGGTCATTAATGAAAATTAAGAAAAAAAAGTAGGTCTAAGGATAGAGCTCTGTGGCACACTTGCATTAGTACAAAAGGATCTAGAAGAGAGGGCGTTCAAGATAACTTTCATTTCACAATTTGATAAAACTTAATCATTATAAAAATTCGATCCCTGCTTCCTTTTTAGTTGTCAAGCTTTTCTTTTGATGGGCAATGCAATATCTATATTATCTACGGCGGTGTTATTGTGTTCGTTTATTTTAGAGATGTAGGTGATGTAAAATAATTCTGAACCGTCAAACGTAAAAAAATAACAACAACTTTTTATTTTAAATCATTTTATTAATATTAGTAAAATATAAGTGCTAAAGTAAGCAGCCGAAAGGCGTAGATTCTAGCGAGGTTTGAACTCGAAACCCATATCCTTGGAGATCATTTTTCAAAAACAGCTTCTAAATAAATTCTTTCACGAGAACCTATTACATAAAAGGAGTCAAAACTAGACTCATAATCAGTAGTGCATAGAAGCGGGGAGATACAGGGTGTGACGGCCCCGGGCATCCATATCGGGCGGGCAGCCAATCAAAATGTCAAATGAAAATTTTGTTTATATTTATTTTGAATAATGTGTTTATTAAATATTCAAAATGTCTTCCTTTCTCGCATTTCTTAATACTATGCCCTATAGCCCAACTTACATGAGTTTTAGGGGCATACAATCAAGTAGTTGACCCCAGGCATCACCAAGCAACACCAAATCTCGGCACGTCACGGCTCATATTTCTGCCGATAAGATTGTGTGAACATTGTTCAAAAACAATTATTCGGAAGCAATTATTCGAAAAATATTCGAATTGCAAATTGTTTGAATGAAAATTAATCGAAAGGACAATTAAATGATAATTATTCGAAATCCCAAATTCTTTATTGCAATAAAAATGTAAAAATTAAAAGAGGAAATACACAAATGATAATTATTCGAAATATCGTTAATAAAACAATTTAGTAAGAAAGAAATCCTTATAACCTTAAATTGCATGATACTACATGCAAATACCATAATTCCCCAAGTATAATATGCCTTTATACGAAACCCTAAAATTGCAGAAAGTATGGGAAAAGGCTTCTACTCACGCATAATAGGCACCCCTTGTTTGGTAATCAAACTCTTTAAATTGGACCTATCCAATTTTATTACGGCCAGCGATTCCTACTCTTATTTAAAATGGTTTTAAACATAGAATAATATTATTCTAATTTAGTTTTATGATAATTCTTATTTTCTTTTATATTTGTAAGTATTGTTAGGTACATATGATTGTATTTCACTGAATGTTAGTGTCAAATTGTCGTATGTTTGTGGTGAGTGGTCATTTCGCTATTGAAATCGACCTATGAAATGGCAATTTTTAAAGATTTGTTTAGCTGTGCATAATATGCATCCCCAATTTCGCTTATTATTTTTTAGAAAAAAATGCGTATTATACATGGGGAATTACGGTAGTCATCTACTAAAGATTACTCGTTAAACGATGCCACTAAGTTTTTAAGCTTTCTAATTACTTCGCGGTATTTCTTGGCGCTCTTGATATTTTGACAACCTGCTCTTACTTTTGCAATATGAATTTCTTGCAAGTCCTGTTCTCTTTTAAGAGCGTCTAAGAATTTCCATACTGTTGGATGATATCATGACACTTGCTGCAAAAGAGTCCTATATCATTCTTCAAGGGCGTTATTAATTCTAGGTGAATCAACATTGACTCCCTCAAAGCAAGACAACATATATATTTTAAGCATAGATGTTTCGAATAATTATCATTTCGATTAATTTTCATTCAAACAATTTACAATTCGAAGTTAAAGGAACCGTTTCGTCGATAGAATACGCTACTGCGTTTTCGACTTCAGTTGTCAGGTATTCGAAGGCTTTTCCAGCAGTCTTGTGTAGTGGAGCTTGTATGAGGTGGGGGGGGAACTTTTTCAGAATACTTACTAATCCATTAGGAATAGTAAGAAAACATTCCCAGCGCACGACGAAGAGAATGAATATCACGAGGAAGGGGAAGTTCTTTAAGCAGACAAAGTCTCTCGGGATCTGGTTTAATTTCTACCCTCCGATA